TTCAAATTACCTTTTCAATTCAATTTCGAATCCCACTACCTTTTGGCTATCCGGAAACCTATAATCTGTGTCCCTGCCACAAGGCATATTTGTTAATTATGTAATCAGGCTTAGGAATCCGCGACGCATTAATTTCGCTTAATTAGTTTGCCATTTGGAAGCGGCTGACTAGTGACCAGATTTGAATTTCATTCCACGTGCCCCAGCTCTAATTGCATATTAATAAACAATGTTCCAGGCATTGATTCAATTACCAGCGAACCTGCCACCGCCCATAAATATGCATGCAACGTCAGTTTATTGTCCACTAACTAATCAAATGCGAATAACTCCTTCAGCCGAGGACTCGGGCGTTACAGATTGCAGTTCCCCTCAATCTGCAATCTGCATACAATTTGGGCACAACAACTAGTGCAAAGTTTTCGCATTCGGAAACAATAAGACAACAGCAACAGTCATTAGACAAGTACACAAAAGTCAAGAGGCGGAAGAAAATATAGAAGTCAAACAGAAACCAAAGAAAAATCTAAAATCAAGAGTTCTGAGTACTGTGAGGACAGCAGAAGAATCAACAAAGTCCCAAAAATACAGAGCTTAAAAGTGGTTACTCCAACATTTGCAGTTTTTCTTGGATTATATTTTGTCCAGCCAGTTGGTTGTCAACGGTGCGTATGCGTTATAAAAAGCAAAATTCTCTTAAAAAGTGGTAAGGTACAATAAAAAGTAATATTTGAAAATCCTGTAGAGCCCTTCTTAATTTTTTTTTAATTTTTTAAAAATTGGTTTAAATAATGATTTACAATTAAATGTATATTTTAGAATTATTTTGTTTCGTTTTACATAATTTTAATGGATAATAAAAGTTAGTTTAGGAATTAAAAAGCGCCTAAGTCTTAAAAAACTAAAAGTCTTTTTTTTATAACATTTATATACAACATATTTTAAGATTCAGCAGTTAAATAAAATTGACCCAAGTTGACCTAATTTATCATTTTTACATTTTTGTAATGAACTTTTTTTGTGTTCCACTTTATTTTCTTTCAATTCAATTCGATTCCACCAACACATGTAAACCATCCACATAAATACGCAAAGCTTTTGAAAACAGCTGTTCTTGTAAATCCTTATCAGAAGCTTACAATCCACAGCAGCTTTCCCTTGGCTGAATAAAGAGAGAAATTAAGAGCAAATTGTAAGAGAAATTGTGGAAGCTAAGCTTTCCCCCAGCAGTTTCTCTTACCAGCCAAGCTTTTAAGAGAGCCGTGGTTCTTAAAGGCTTAAAGTGGGTAAATAGAACTAAAAAAAAGAAGCCAAACCATTTGGACAATTGAGACAATTACTGTGGCAGGCACACCAAATTGGATAAGCTCTTAAAGTTCCGCACAGCTTTGCTAAGAGCAAGTCACAAATGTACCAATGCCAAATTAAAGAGATGTCAGGCTGGAGAAAGGCGAAACACAAAGAGGAAGAGGATTCGTCCCACTTGAGCAGTCAACAAGCTTTTGGCAGTGTCCTTCATAATTTGCACTGGTTGCCATTTATTCGCCAGCAACAGGTCTGATTTCCAAAAATCCCCCTCCCAAAGATGCAGATACAACATAAATATCTTTAACTTTTGCAACCAAAAAACCCTTTACCACAAACCAATGCAAATTATCAAAACTTTTAGGTCATTTTTTTTGCACTCCTGCAATTACGCTTGATTGCCATGAAAATGCGTAAAATAAAATACTTGAAATACAGGAGTATTATTCTGCTGCGAAAGAGGGGCACAAAAAAATGCTAAATCAACAAAGTTTTGTTCTTCTTCTTACCCCGCAAAGGGCAACAGGGCGCATACTTAATTATATTTCGAGCTGTTTATATTTCGCTGAACCCCCCCCCCCCCTCACTGCCATTTCTAAAAAATTGTGGTTTCAATAAAAGCAAAAAAAAAGAGAAAGAGAAAGTGCCTTGCAAAAGGGACACAATTAATTACGGTTTGGCAGAAAAAATACCAGAGAAAAGTCAAGAAACAGTCATCCACCAACTGCGCAACAAGTTTAACTTTTCAGGCAAGTTTGGTCAGTCGAATGTATTACATGAATATATACGTCAATACTTGCGAATAAAAAGGAAACAACAGAATTGTTGGGAAAGTATCGAATAAACTTTGGTTTTTCGGCCAGGTGAGACTGAGAGTGATGAATTTGATTGAAGAACTTGCCGCCTGTCAAAGGTGCGAATTTGAGTGGGCCTCGATTTTTGGGAGTATTTGTATTGTATATTAATGTTTAAGAGGGTGAAAGTATATACTTATATGTAAGAATATTTCCTTGAATTTATTATTATGTAATCAAGTGGCTGTCCATTTTTAAGGAGTGATGAAAAAATAAACTGAATAGAACTCACTTTGATTTACTTATAAAAATAGGAATCAAAAGGATTAAAAAACCAATGTAAAATATTTTACATAATAAAATTCTTTAGTACCAATTTAATATTTGTTTATTATTATTTTTCTCCCTTCAAATTTTAAATTAAAAATAAATTTTTTATGTTATTTCATTACTTTCTTTTGTGAATTTTTTTTATTATTTATAAATTAAATCTAAATACGTTTCACAAAGCATCACTGTTATAATTAATTAAGGTTGTAACTTATGTCAGAATGTCGTTAGCCCCATGTTTTTGTCTTACTTTCAAATTTTGACTTTTCCACTTTAAGTTTCCACTCTGATCTGCCAAATTTAAGATAGAACCGAATCCACTTTATATCGCATAATCCAAGGGCATCGTTCAACTCGGCTGACACTTTAGTTAGCCATTCGGAAAAACCCTTTCCCTTTCTCACTCTCCGTGTGTTTGTCGCCTACTCATTTCATGGCACATTAAATATTTATACCCAAAAATGTTTGACCCTCATAGGGCAACCGCACATTCGCGGTTTTTGGATGATTTTTTTTCTCAAATATTATGTATGTTTTTTCATTACATTTATGCAAATACGGAGTGTTAGTCAAGTGCATGGAATATTTTTTGAACATTTTTGAGGTTGATAGAGAAAATATTTATAATGAACTAGGCAACTCCAGGGAAAGCAGGCCACAAATCTAGAGCAGCTGAATCGAGGGTTCCGAGTGGGTCAAATGGTTTTTCTCACCACCCCTTTTCTGTGGCCATTTTCAGTGACATTCAATTTTGAAAATGCTCCCAACGCTGCGGCTTTGAGCGCGGAAATTGAAAATGTTTTGCTGTCTCACAAACACAAAACTGAAATGCGGCAAGACATTGTCGGGGCATGTCGGTTAAACAATTCTGTTTGCTGATTTCCTGCCACCCGGCTACCCGTTCGCCCCCGCAACTTTTATGCTGCCATTATAATTAGGCTCAAATTGCTGCACTTTGCTTTGCATTTTAATTACTCAACAACAGCTCGAGAGGAAGAAAGGCATCTCGGAAATGTTGCACAATTTAAGCGAGAGTGAAAGCGAAAAGGAAAAGCAAAATGGCACGGAGGGAGCATCGCTAACAAGTTGCTGCCTCGCTGCCTTGTCATGCCTTCTGTCCCACTGTCACTCGCAAACGCCTCGGCACGCCCACAGCCCACCGCCCACAGCCCACCGCCTGCTTTCTCCTGCCACGCCCCCATCGACCGCCCAACGCTCGGCAGTCGTCAGTGTAGCATTTCAAGCAAAGTATTTAATTTCCACATCATACACACGGCCGCCCAGGCAAACAATGAGGGGCGAAAACCTAAAATGTGTGCCAAGGCGAAGGCTGTCGGCTGATGGCCTATTCAGCTCAGCTGAAGATGAGCACTGTCCAAAAAAATATTGCCACCAGGAAAATGTCCTTTAAGGGGATACAGTTCCTTAAGAATTTGGTTTTCTTCTCAAAAAAAAATTAACACAATTTTTTGTACACTGAAAAGTGTAAAACTGAAGAATTCCAAAGAGGTTTATTACTTTTTGCTCCCTTAAATATTCAATTTTATGACTTAAAAGTATTATTAACAAGACCCTTATTTTGTTTAGTGTATGGAGAAAAGATAGAATATATGAAGTGAAGATACAAGCAAAAGGTAACCAAAATTGGCCACACAAAAATCTCTGCCAAACATTGTTTTGTTCTTCTCTTGAGTTTTCTATATTTCCTTACTCCGAGTTTTGGAAAACCCCTATAATCTGTTTTCACTATTTCAGTTGGTGTTAAAAATAATATACCTTTTTTTTATTTGGACATTTCTTTTAAAAATTCTTATAAAATAAAACAAAAACCATTTGACATTATTATTTTTATACTTTGTACTACAAAATTAGACACATTGAATAATTAAAATCATAAGAGAATTAGAGTTAGAATTAGAATTAGAGTTAGTTCCACAAAAAATATAATAATGGCATTAACTACGTTGTTTTTCTTATTGTGCTTAATTAGTTGAAATAAAATCATACAATTTTTTGCATTTTTTAATGCAGTCATTGTAATGCTTAAAATTATTTCCGTTTTGACCACATCCACTGTAAGTAAAGCGGTAGCACTTGTTGTCTCTGTAATTGTAACCATATCTTGTCTCACGACCAACACAATAACCCTTAACAATCGGCTCTAAGCAGACTCCTAGAAAACAATGAAAGTAGTTCTTTATATTTAATATGGCTTATATTTTTAGAATACAAACTCTAAGCGCTTGTATAATATTTTTTAAGCACCAATAACATTAATAAGTTTATAAAACTCACGATTCCTTTGCCCTTCCAGACGCGAATATAATAGAAACCATATATAAATGACAAGAGTTTTCATATTCAGTTTTTTCTAAAATCCTCTATGTCGACTGTGTATCGGCCAACCTTTACCTTACCACATAATGTGAGACAATCCGTTGTAAGACATTTTCTTAATTTTATTTGTTCTGGTAATTATTACAAATTCAGCTATGAAACCTGTGAATTTGTAATGGTTATTAAGTGTGATAAATATTAATTCATAAATGTAGATTTAAAACACAAAACAAATATTTTTCTTTGATTTTATATTTGAACCTGGTAATGGAAATTAAAAGCAACTAAATTGTTTTAGCGAAAACTTTAGGTAATCGACGTAGACTCATTTTCCTTTACATGCGGAATCACAGGATTGTATAGAATCAAAACGATTTCCGTTGCCACCACATCCACCATATACAAATGGAACGCATCCCTTATTACTAGGTTTGTAAGCGAATTTTCGGATCATTGCCTTGCAACGCCCAGGTTCTATTGGAAGACTGCAGATGCCCTCCGCTGAAAATTTTTAATTTGAACGATACCTTCAATTTGATTTTAATTGTTTATACTTACATTTTACCATGGCTGAACCAATAATAGGAACCAGAATGTAGACAAAGAAAATGAATTTCATGTTTATCGCTTTCGACTGAAGTGAGACAACTAAATGCTTAGGAGCTCAGAAGGAAATCCACCTACCTCACTTCCCTAATATCCGTAAATAATTGATGTTTTTTGGAGTATGAGTATAAATAATTAACATTGGTACTTTCACCTTTCAAAAATAAGTCTTTGTAGATTTGGACAATGTAAATATTGTTTAAAAAAGAATATTCTATACACAGAGAAAAATATCCAAGAACATTGTTCTTGAATTGAGAACATTCGTTCTTAAAATCCGTGTATGAACATTTTGGTATCAACGTTCTCTATATTAGAACGCAATGTTGAGAAGAGAAAACTTAAATTGAGTTTATTTAACAACTTTTAAGTATACACTACGGGCTGAACTAATAGTTTATTTGTTGAGATATACAAAGGTACATAAATTCAACTTGATTCAAACAAAATAAAAACATTTTCAACTTAAAAATATAGTTCTATTTTTAAGAATATTTTCAACTCATCTGAGAACGTCAGAATTTTCTCTGTGTAGCTATAGCTTGAGTTTATAGATGGATGAATGCTTTTGTACTGGGTCTGATACCAAGGCTTGGTATCAAGTCTCTGCAATGCAAAGGATCAACTCTTATATCATGTGATAGTTTCTAAGTGCGATAAATATATATTTATAAATAAAATTAACAACTTTGTGATTTACCTTTTCTTTTTTTAACTAAAAACACAACAAATATTTTTCTTTGATTTTATATTTGGTTCTGATAATGTATAATTAAAACCATATAAAATACTTTTGCGTAAATTTCAGCTTAACCAGGTAAACTTATTTTCCTTTGCAAGCGGATTCACAGGCTTGTATAGAATCAAAACGATTTGCGTTGCCACCACAGCCACCATATACAAATGGAACGCACTCTTTGGTAACTGGACTGTAACCAAATCTATAGAATAATGCATAGCAAAGCCCCGTTACTCTTGGAAGACTGCAGATATCCACCGCTAAAAATTTGCGACTTATAAACACATTCATTATGATTTTCATTTTCATACTTACATTTCCCCATGACCGAACTAAGAAGAGGAATCAGGATAAAGACAAAGAAAATTAATTTCATGTTTATCGCCTTGGACTCCAGCGAGATAACTAAATGCTTAAAACTTTAAATGGTAAAACGCCGTGCTTCATTTCCGTTATATTCGTAAATAATTGATTTTTTAAATATATGGTGTGGTATATGGAAAAATAATTGATTTTGGTACTGACCTTGCAAAAATGAGTCTCATTATATTTATATATTTTGTTTAAAAATATGTATTCGGTACCAATGCACAAGGGGAATTTAAAAGTTCTGTTTTTGAATTAAGTTCATAAAATTTGAATGAATTTAAATAAACTAGATGTGCGTAAGCCCGCCTTTTTTTAAGAATTAAAAAAAATGATTGCGTTTTTTATTTTCCATTTTACTTTTAAAAAAGTGGTTTTTGGCAAGGAAAAGTGGTGAAATTCCCTATAGTGCAGTGCCCAGAATATACTTACAGAACATTTAATGGCTTCTTAGTGTGATAATTTCTTTTCAGTAACTTAAAACACAACAATTATTTTTCTTCGATTTTATATTTGAATGTGATAATGCATGATGAAATCAAAAAATAAATATTTTTTTGTCACACTTCAGTTTACTTAAGTAAACTTATTTTCCTTTGCATGCGGATTCACAGGCTTGCATAGATGCAAAATTATTTGCGTTGCCACCACAGCCACCATATACAAATGGAACGCACTCTTTGCTAACTGGACTGTAACCAAATCTATGGAATAATGCATAGCAAAGCCCCATTACTTATAAAAACATTCATTATTATTTTAATTTTCATACTTACATTTCCCCATGACCGAAAAAAAAATAGGGATCAGAATGTAGACAAAGAATGTGAATTTCATATTTTTCTTTGATTTTATATTCGGATCTGATAATGTATAATTAAAACCAAATAAAATATTTTTTGATTACAATTTAGTCCGGCCGAAAGTCTTAGCTACTATGGCCGATTCCTCCCTGTACCTTAAGTTTTAAACTTTTGGCAACAGAGTACAATAAATAAATAAAATATTTTTTCGTAAATTTCAGTTTAACCAGGTAAATTTATTTTCCTTTGCATGCGGATTCACAGGCTTGTATAGAATCAAAATGATCTCCGAAGCCATAGCAGCCACCATATGCATATGGAATGCACTTCTTTTTGACTGGATCGTAAGCGAAAGTATGGTTCAGTCTCGCGCACAACCCCGATCCTCTTGGAAGACTACATTCATACACCGCTAAAAATTTGCGACTTATAAAAACATTCATTATGATTTTAAATTTCATACTTACCTTTTCCCATGACCGAACTAAAAATAGGAATCAGAATGTAGACAAAGAAAATGAATTTCATGTTTATCGCTTTCGACTGAAGTGAGACAACTAAATGCTTAGGACCTCAGAAGGAAATCCTCCTACCTCACTTCCCTAATATCCGTAAATAATTGATGTTTTTTGGAGTATGAGTATGAATAATTAACATTGGTACTTTAACCTTTCAAAAATAAGTCTTTGTAGATTTGGACAATGTACATATTGTTTTAAAAAGTATATTCTATACACAGAGAAAAATATCCAAGAACATTGTTCTTGAGTTGAGAATATTCGTTCATAAAATCCGTGTAAGAACATTTTGGTATCAATGTTCTCTATATTAGAAGAAAATACTGAAAAATGAAAACTTAAATGGAGTTTATTTGACAACTGAGAACGTCAGAATTTTCTCTGTGTAGCTATAGCTTGAGTTTATAGATGGATAAATGCTTTTGTACTGGGTCTTATACCAAGGCTTGGTATCAAGTCTCTGCAATGCAAAGGATCAACTCATATAACATGTGATGGTTTTAAGTGCGATAAATATATATTTATAAATAAAATTAACAACTCTGTGACTTAGTTTTTCTTTTTATTAACTAAAAACACAAGAAATATTTATCTATGATTTTATATTTGGATCTGATAATGTATAATTAAAACCATATGAAATGTTTTTGCGTAAATTTTAGTTTAACCAGGTAAACTTATTTTCCTTTGCATGCGGATTCACATGCTTGTATAGAATCAAACCGATCTCCGATGGAGATACAGCCACCATATGTATATGGAATGCACTCTTTTTTAACTGGATGGTAAGCGATGGTATGGATAAGTTTCAAGCACAACCCCGATCCTCTTGGAAGACTACATTCATACACCGCTAAAAATTTGCGACTTATAAAAACATTCATTTTGATTTTAAATTTCATACTTACCTTTTCCCATGACCGAACTAAAAATAGGAATCAGAATAAAGGCGTAGAAAATAAATTTCATGATTATCGGCTTGGACTCCAGCGAGATAACTAAATGCTTTAAACTTAAAATGGTAACACCCGTACTGTTTTTCAGTTATATTTGTAAATAATTGATTTTTTTACATATATGGTGTGGTATATGGGAAAATAATTGATTTTGGTAATGACTTTGTAAAAACGAGTCTCTTTATATATATATATATTTTGTTTAAAAATATGTATTCGGTACCAATGTACTATGGGGAATTTGACAACTTTTTGTGTCATTAATTAATACTTAAAAACGAGGCAACATTTAAAAGTTCTGTTTTTGAATTAAGTATATAAAATTTAATGGAATTCAAATAAACAGATGTGCGTAAACCCGCCTTTTTTTTAAGAATTAAAAAAAAAATGGTTTGGTTTTTTTTCGATTTTACTTTTAAAAAATGGGTTTTAGCCAAAGAAAAGTGGGCAAATTCCCCATAGTGCAATGCCCAGAATATACTTACTTTATAATTACGTTTTTCTTTTCAGTAACTTAAAACACAACAATTATTTTTCATCGATTTTATATTTGAATGTGATAATGCATAATGAAATCAAAAAATAAATATTTTTTTGTCACACTTCAGTTTACATAAGTAAACTTATTTTCCTTTGCATGCGGATTCACAGGCTTGCATAGATACAAAATTATTTGCGTTACCAACACAGCCACCATATACAAATGGAAAGCACCTTTTGGCGATTCGACTGTAAGCGAATCTATTGTTTTCTGCCATGCAAGGCCCTGTAACTCTTGGAAGACTGCAGATATCCACCGCTGAAAATGTTTGATTTGAACGATACCTTCAATTTGATTTTAATTTGTTATACTTACATTTCCCCATGGCTGAACCAATAATAGGAATCAGAATGTAGACAAAGAAAATTAATTTCATGTTTATCGCTTTCGACTGACGTGGAACAACTAAATGCTTAGGACCTCAGAAGAAAAACCAACCTACCTTACTTCCCTAATAACCGTGAATAAATGATATATGATTGGTAAAATTTGTAAATAATAAATTCTACTTGGTACTTTTTCTTTGTAAAAATAAGTAATTTTAGATGTGTACACACATATATTTCTTTTTTATAAGTTTGTTTCATTATTTTTTAGCAAGGAAGCTTGACAAACCTGTTTGCTTACAATATGTTTTGCATGAATACAAAATTACTGCACGTTTCTTCCCTTGCATTCGGATTCGCAGTCCATTATAGATTCGAAATTATTTGCGTTGCCCTTACAGCCTCCGTACATAAAACTGATACATACTTTTTTACTAGGTCTGTAACCGAATCTTGGGACCAGGTCTTTACAATGCCCCGGATTTATGGGAAGACTGCAGATTTTACTTGCTTAAGAAAAACACTTTAATTAGCTGAACATTCGAGGTGATTTTTAATTCTGATACTTACAATTTCCCATGACATAATCAATCAAGTGAATCAGTAGGCAAACAATGTAAAACAATTTCATATTTTTATAAGTCTCTTTTTTCTGATGTCAAACAACTAACAGCGAAAGGTCTAAGAAAAAATTTAAATTGAAATTGCAATTTTCTCTAATGTCTGTGAATAATCGATAGTGTTAGTCCGCAAACAGATATACATATCAAATATAGAGGTTTTTATATAGAACTCCCACTACTCTATGAACTTTTTACCTGTTGCTTGGTATTCATAAAAGGATTTTGGTTTACTTTACTAACAGATAGGAATATTTTTTGGGTAACTCCGTTCTTCACTATTTCATTCTGCATTCCAGATTCATATATTGTCGCTCAGTTCCCTCGCCTCATCCATTTTATTGGTTTCATTTTGTCACGTTTCGAGCGGCGAAAGTGCCGCCAGAGAAAGGAGAAATGGAAAACATCTGGGGAAAAGGGCAGACAGACAGGCCAGTAAAAGGTTCTTGCAAATCATTTCCATTTCAGTTTCCTCTTCTTTTGCCTCTGCGAATAAATATAAATAGCAAAATTTGCCATTTTGTGCAGCGACTTTCGAAAGTTTTCAACGAAAGTTTTTCGTTGGGCAATTGGTTTTTCTTTATTTCTTCTTTATTTGGCTACGAAACTGTTTTTCTCAGGCATTCAAATCAATTTTTGGGACTGCTTAAGCCCTTAAAGCTGCTGATGATTTAAGGATTTGTCTGCATTATAACGCATTTCCTTTACATGAGAAGATGGTGGGGTGAGGTGAGGTGGAAAATTCAGGGGGCAAAAGGGCAAATGTCGACGTTGACCCGCTGCCAAGTCAATAAATTCTCATTGCCTAAGCCATAAATCAGCATCATGGCGCGCTAAGTGTCATTTTTTGTGACGTTCGGATGGCTTTTTACCTGGCCAAACAACAGGGGCGGTTTCAATGCGACGGGGCGTGGCAAGTCGCATTGAGGGGAGCTTTACACTAAAAGAAATGGTAGTCTTTGAATTCTATTTCGATACAGTATTATTCTTCATGAAAAAGTGTTTAAGGACTTCTTTTCTAACTCAATTATTATCCACAACAGGAAACAATGACCTTTCCAAATATCCTATTGTAAAACCAAGCTAATTAGAACAAAACTTTTAGTACGATAATCAAAAATATAAATATTTTTCTCCAGTGTAGATTGGCGGAGAATTGGATCTGTTACTGGCAGCCTCACAATGCGCGTTATAATTTACACCTGGCGAAAAGCGAACGGCAGTAGCAGCCAACAACCTCAACCAACTACAACTGTCATTTGACCTTAACCAGACTTTGGATTCTGGGTAAAATGGGGGTGCACAGTGGGTGGGTGGCAAGAGGTGGAGTTCCAATGGGCGGGGTTCAAAAGGGGGAGTGCCAGTGGGTGGGCAGGTAATCTTTGTTGCGGTTGCGGTTGGCTGAATGTGCTACGGATCCGAACTCTTCTGGGTGTTATATAGGTGCCATGGTATATATTTTACTCAAAAGCGCAATTGCTTGATTTGACAATTTCCAACTGACAAAGTGGAATCGAGAAGGTGACAATGAGACCGAGAGAGACATTTGTATAGAAACATGTCGTCGGAGGTGGTCTGACTTGGCATTTCCGGTGATGGATGTCTTTCAACCTCAACTATTAAATAGGAAAATTCGTATATAACTTATTGTAAGCTTTACTATTGGAGTTGATAATATAACAAGGCTTAACGCTACTTTGCAATTGAGTTCATTAAACCACAATATTTATTAGAGCGTCTCAAGTTCCCTAGTTCTTTGTATGCCTTTCATTCCGGAAATCGATGGACTGTAAAAGGACCAATAAAATGTTCCAATTAAACGGAATGCGATCAATAAAGGACACAGTCGCTGGCAACTTAAAGCTTTACGCTTATTGAAAGCCCATCTATCTGGCTCTTACTGGCAGTCGTACCCCCTGGCAACTCAACCTCCTCATCCCCCCTATTACTCCAGGCAGCTGTGTTGATTGCCGTAACAGCTTTTGAAATTAAGTCGCTGCAAGTCGGCTATAGTTAGGGGAAAAGGGGTTTGGGGGAAGGGGTAACGATTTCAGGACCAGGGGACAGGACATTCCCAGCAAGACGAAATGAGGCTGAGAGCAAGCTCAAGCCACACGGAGAAAATATATGATCGAAATTGGCCATCATTTCGGTATGATAACGTGGTTAGTTCCATTGAAATTTTCAAACAAAAGCGTTTTTAAACGTTTTTCTGAAATTCCTAACAACTTTTAATTACAAGAAAAGGAATTTTAACAATTTTACATTTTTTCTTTCATAAAGTTTTGGTACATAAAAGAAATATAAGTTGCTTTTATGTGATATGATTTTAAACCATACATGGATATAATAAAATAAAAGTTCTGAAATCCTTACCAACTTTTATTTTCTAGAGAAGGAATTATAACAACTATACATTTTTTAATTCATACATTTTTAGTACGAATAATGTATATAAGTTTAACTAAATATTTAATTTCTTTATATTAGTCTATACTTCTCAAATTTAATTGCATAAAAGCCCATAACTTAACTGCCTACAATACTTTTACGCCTTTAGGTTGGATGGTGTTAATTATACAAAACTTAATAAAAATTATTAATCAA